AAAAAGTCCAAATCAGTTGAAGTCTACTTTGGTTTTAATGTGAATTCAATGTAAGTGATGGATAATTGATTAATTTCATTAAATTATTCACTTAAGGCCAATAGGAGACTTTAACAAATCTTTCATGAACAGTGTTTTATTGTCTTGTTGGTGAAACAAAAAAGACTCAGAAGACTTGTTAGCTTTAGCTCAATTTAAGAATTCATTAATGTGAGCAGCAAGCACTCTTTATCAGAGTTTGAAGCGGAGGAATGTAATTCTAATCTCCATCCTCTTACAGGCATTCTTTTGTTTGTTCAGTTTTTGAATTCTCAGCTAATGTCAACAAGACCTGAAACCTGCTGACGAACTCACACGAGACGAATAATTCAACTTTGAACATCTTATCCTCAGTATCATCCAACTCCTCCTGCGTTACTGTTGCTTGCTGTAAGGCCATCACATGCATCTAAACCTCGATTAAACATGACAACACTCACCCACTCTGCTGCCACGCTGCCACCAGGACACAGGTACAGCTCGATCGGGTGCAGCACGGTCCGCTTCCGGAAAAGTCTGGTACCTGCAACCACAGAAAGACTTCATTAAACATCTCGTCTCAAACCCAACTCTTTACAAGTCAATGTTTAATTTTCATGAGATGCCATTTTTATTATCACCCTGGAAGGAGGTTATGTTTCCATCTGTGTTGGTTCTTTGGATTGAGCAGAAAATTAGGTGGAAGGACTTTCTTTCACTTCCTTTCACATTGTGAGACAGAATAATTCATTTTTCATTCATTCATATTTAGGGGAATGATATCTATGAGTGTAATTTCATGCAGTTTGGTTGAAGCCGGTTCTAACTTTACTACAGTGTGCTACAAAATTCCTGTTTCTAAAGTGATTTAAAACACTAAACAGTCACAATAGTTTAGGTAACAGAATGCAAGTGTAGCCACCAGAGCTGTGTTTGACCACGTTAACAATGCCAACAATGTGTAGACCTAGGCTACAATTATACTATGACCTTTTCAAACTAAAACAATCTCTGTCAACACTGCCATTTTAGCTCTGTACACATGAAGACGTGTGCACGCTGGTGTACGCACACACTTACTTCTCAACTCTATAAAGTGCTTTGAGTTGTCATTAAGGATAGAAAATGACCATAAAAATCCATTTAAAATGTTTTCCTTCAACTTGTGACCAGACCAGTCATATTATCTCTATTATTTTTGTTTTGTCTGAACAATCTCTAAATTAACCTCCGCGAGTTTTCAAAGATGTGAATCTTATGTCATTTCCCATCAGCTCACACCACCGGTTTAACGAGAAGTTCCCTCTAATGTGACAAGGATGCAAACTCCCATTTACTGTAGTCAAGCAATCAGTGGATGTTTTGTGTGACGGAAAGAATTCGCATCACATGTGACTCCTTGTGAACATGTCTTTTTTTCAATCATTAAAAAAATGGTTAAACTTTAACAGAGTGTTTCTTTATTGAGGTGCATTATATTTCCGTGTCACCTACTTTACCCCATGTGCACTTTGTTGAGTTATTTTCAATGAATGGTAAAAGGATTTATAGGTTTATAGATTTATAAAGTATTAGTCACTCAAAACTACCCACAAAAATTACCCATTCATGCAAACACATTCAAACATTGCCTTCACCCATTCACACACTGATGGTACAATGTCTTACCCACTGACACGTGAGCTGGGGAAGCCCGGCATTGAACCACCGACCTTACCATTACCCAACGTAACGACCCACTTGAACTCCTAAGCCACGCGTTTGTTAGCTCACGTGCAGAAATGTAATTGAGAGATTTTACCAGGACATGTAAAATAATGATAACTATTAATACAAATAAAACAAAGAAACCTTAACAAAAATAACTTCTCAACGTAAAATGTTCATCTAACAACTCCAACAATAAAAAACAGAGATAAACTGTCATTTGCTGTTGACAAACTACGTAGTGACAAGTTGACTAAATATAGTTACCATGGTGATGGATGCAACAAACCACAAGGATGTTAGAAGACGGAAAAAAACAAAAGACCCCACTGTGCACTTGTTCCGTTGCTTATTCTTGACTCAATGTATTGTAAAGTCTAAATTTGCCATTATTAAAAACTACAAAAACATTTGAAACTGGAATCAACATTTCTCTTTATTTTAACAAATGTTCTTTAAAGTGTAATTGTATTTAAATAATGATCTTAAATGGTGACATTAAGCATTTAAACTCTCACTGTCAACCCTTAAATGCAGTTTTAGTAATAAAAGGTCTGGCTTTTACACTTAAGATCGTTTATTTCCTCATCAAAAGATTGTGTTTTGATTGTTGAGTATTCTGTCTTGATGAAATAGTTCTAAAAACACATTTATCTACTAAACTTTAAAAACAGGAACAGGCTCAGAATGAGTTAAATCATGTGAACAACATGCTGGTGTAGTTTTTATATGGTTCCCACTTGATGGCAAGTTTGCTGTACAAGTGAACACCTCTCTTGTCCTTGACAATACGGATGTGGTGAACTAGTGTATTTACTCTACACCAAAGTCAACAAGTGTTGTATGACGTAGGCTTTAGAAAAGGTTTAAAATCATCTGCCTAACACTCACACACAAGTTTGATGAAAAGGAGATCCGTCTTCATTTACAGACTGGGGAGGAGCGTAGATTTAACTTGAAGGGAATTTGAAACATGCAGTTTGTGGCCCTGTTGAGTTGTTGGTGTTAAATACTTTCTATATCATTTAAATCAGCCCTTTCCGAGCCTGTGAGAGTCTGTTAAAAAACACCTCTGGAAAAGATTTTGATACTGACAGTCAGATAACTTCATAGGGAGGATTTTTATCTGCTTTAGTTGTTTCTAGATGTTATCAATACATGGCCAACAGAGAGCTTACTCGAACAACCATGTTTTTCTTTTTTGTAGTCAAGCGTTTCGTTGCTCCAATGCATGAAAACCATCCCACGTCCGTCCAGCTGGACTCAACTGTCAGGTTTAGTGATGTTTAGCAGGAAAGGTGCATAATCCTAAATCCTAAACAACTGAGGGATAGAAGTGAAATAGGAGACCAATAAAGACACATGATGCTGCAGGTCTGCAGTCTGCCAGTAACTTGACTTCCTTCTGGGAAACTCAGCACAAAGTGGTAGAGCTGGAACTTGAGGCTTTATTACTTTTGTTTTTATGAATAGTCCAGTGTCGTACATAGCAACTCTTTGCCAAGTCTGAGTTTCATGTTCACAGAAGACTGCGTACCATAAATGAATCAACACACTGATAATTCAATCATTATAGAAACTTTAGCCAATTACCAATTAATCAGGTCAATTAAAGTTTGCACTGATAAAAATGAGGAAGCAGAGTTAGAAATTATGTTCACACATAAGTAGGACTTCCATCCTCTTTGGTACACAGTATTTGTTTTGGCCAGAACATTAAAACATAATAAAAAGAACAAGTTGTCAGGGAGGGCTACAACAGAGACCTTGAACAGGAAATTAAAAAAAGAAAAAGATTTTAAATCAGCAACACACATAGACTGGTKAATAGTTTCACAAAAGTACTAATAAGGCCAGTTCTGTAAACATGAATCATAAAACGAGTGCATGTTCTGTGGTTTTGCACTCGTTTGACCGGTCGCCGGTCTATCACAAGCCCAACAAAGAAAGACAAACAACCATCCACGCTCACCGATACGGGGAGAGCATGTAAATCAACTTATTAAGAGACTTTTTTTTTTAAAGTAAGTGCAGGTTTCATGAAAGATTCCACAATCAGATTGACGGAAATTCGCTCAAATCACATAAAAAGAGCAGGTTTTAAGTCTTTTTTCACTATAGAAGTTATACTACAACAAACATTACATCTGATACGATTCTTCACACAATATTAGCAGCACACTGATATCAGTTAAATCTGCTGCAGAACTTTTGTCATGCCCAGCCCTTGTTTGGAATGGGCCTCATAGTAGAAGTGAAACCTACATACCGACCTTACAAGAAACTAACCACCTCCAGGAATAAGTACTGATGGGGCCAACTCTTCACACCACGGCTTTTAGTCTATTGAGTCTAAATGAATGGGGAGAAATATGTTGAGGGTTCGGGTTCGGGAGGCTGCTACACAGGAAACTATGTGTCACTAAGCAGAGCTCTTTCTTTAACCAACAGTCCTTCAATCCAGTCAAGCAGCATCAAATATGACACTTGCATAGATTTTAGTCCCCTAAATATAAATATGCCTGATTTGTTTCCTTTAAAACAATTTAATTATTCCTGGGGGAAAACACGCATGTTGCAACTCCTCCACCGCCTGCTGCATGATGCCTTTAACAATACAGAAGTCAATATGAAAGCTTTAGGCTACAAACACAAGGTTTGAGAATGCATTAGGGTTGTGTATAGAAATGACGTCACCCACATTCCCTTCTTAATGTTTTTTCCAGTCAAGACTCGACTTACAGTAAATGGAAAACCTTGCTAACACTGCCATTAGCAGTTTCCCCCAAATCATCGCTCCAAGAAAATAAATCCCAGCTTCATTTGTCGTTTCTCATTCCCAGTATAAGCAACTAACTACAGCACAGACAATCTACTTCCTGGTAACACAGGCGTGTTCATGCTTAACATACACAAAGTTATGTGAAATGTTTTTAGGTGTGTTCGCGAGGACAGAGATTCTCTCTGAATGGAGATAATTTTTTATATTCTAACACAAAAACTATTTCGTAATGACACACAGTATTGTAAGTAAGACAAATCCTGTGGTTGGTTTGGTACTAAGCTCACCGAACAGGTTTAACATAGCAGGGCCGTGACAGAGGCCTTATGTCCCAATGAGACTCACAGACTGAGCCATTGTTTATTCTTTTTCATTTGCCCAGAACATTCCTATGTTCAATTAGGCTTTCACGAAATATTCACAACCAAATATCAAGTCAGATTTTGGTTAAACTGTTCATATTAGTGTAAATACAGCGCAGGGGTTTGGACAGAATCGTGACCCAAGAAGGAAAATGACATAATTCCTCAGATCAGCTCAGTTAAACAAAGGAGTGATATGGAGTGATGATGACGAGGACGTGCATTTGAAGCTTGATATATTACAGTTTGACCTACAACTTTGATACAACTAATTAGAAATTTTTAAAAAACGAATTTAATTTAATACAATCAAATAGATGAAAATGAAAAGACTCAACAGCAAATAGTAACGTTTTGTTATCGTGTCCATTTGCAGGAAGAAACACAAAAGCCTGTGGTGGTAATTTTACACGCCCTCCATAGTGATTAATGTAAAATATCACTTTACCAAATGTCCTCTGCTGCGATCACAATTTCGTGCTAACTGTTCATCCAAACTGGATAATTGCCACTGTCCAAATAGTTCAGCGTTGCCTGGACTTGCCTTTTAAATAATTAGGGAGTTTAAATGTTCATAAGAAACCACTGAACACAATGGGGATATTGAAGCAAACATAATGGCTTGTACTGCTGCTTAGTCAAACCAGTTCTTTGAGTTGTGTTACTGGTCTCATGACTGCACACACACGCATGTAGACACACACACACCCAAACACAAACTTATGCTGCCTGTGCTCTGTATGTTTGTCACCACTCACGACAGGAATACAGGTGTTCAGACACCTATCACCATCTCCCTAAAAATATATATATGTAAATCATGTTCAATTTGAAAGGTTTTCATATTCAGATCAATGATCCACTATTCATACTCCCAAATAAAACCACTTGAAGTTTTAGGAATTAGGTTTTAGGCATTAGGTTCCTATAATTAGAATTATAGGAACCAACCAACCCCTGCTGATACCGATCAATTCGCTACCTTGCCAAGGAAGACGCTGTGTACCGTAAACATTTCGTTTACTCATGTTAGTTACAGGCATTGTGAGCCCTCAAGGAAGTAATGCATTTCACACAAAGCAGGTTAAATGACTAGTGACACGGCAGAATTCACATTTTCCTTCACACACGCCCTTAATTCTTCACCACACCTTCTGGAAACATCACACATGATGTCAGGAGTTTGGTCCTCTCCTCTCTCCTCTCGAGTTTAAATAGAGACACCCAGCAAACAGGTGCCACATCTTAACCCGGAGGCCAGTTAAGGACATCAGGACTCAACCTAAAATCCACACTTAAAACCATCCATTTGGCTGCTTCACCCTTCATTCGGAGTTATAACGAGAAGATCTGAAGTAAGTTAAGACAATATTCTTGAAATGACTTATGGTGGAATACAATTGGGTGTACATGTAATCAACGGAATACACGTTTATCTTCAGTTACGTTTAGTACTTACCATTTCTAATTATTTGCATTTAAAAGGTTTTCGTCTTTTGTAATTTCTAAAACTCAAAATCTGTTATTTTTGTTGTTTGAACTATTAATCCCCCGAATTACATTTTCATGGCACAAAGTGAGAAATATAAAAAGTACAATTCATATTTGTGTCTAATATCATTTGATTTACATTGCTTACACATGGTATGTGTTTGCTCCTTGTGCGAACAGTTTCTCTGTAATATTGTAAAGTCTCGACTTGAGATAACGTATGTTGGGACTTGGCAAAATACAAACAAAATGTAGTTATTCAATTTTAGAAAATGTTAAACATTTTCAAATCATTTTCTATGATATACTTTGATACTGGCAGGGTTTCTGCAGGTTTCAACAAGTTCATTTTGAGAGTTTTTAAAACCATAATGAATAAAATTTAAGACCTGTGACAAGCATGCCAGATATGAAGGAACAGAATTATTTACACTTCACTCTAATTGAAGATAAGGTTGAGAATATGCTTTCCCCCAGTCAAGCCGAGTGTGCTGTGATAAATGCTGGCTGTTCTCAGGCAGTCATCAGTTCCACGTTGGTCTGAATCGTTGAATAAGAGTCATTTTAAACTTTGCATGCCGCAAAAATTTTAATATGGGAAAAATAACAATTTTAAAGTGTGACAGAAGTAGCCTTAAATGAATAAGAGCTAG